TTGACTTCTTTGCTAAGATGAAACCTGTATGCAGGGTTTGGGGTGTGTTTCTGCGTTTGAGAATCTTTTTTTAAGTTAATAATCCGTATATGTGTATATACACGTTACAACTGGGGTCCTATATAACTCCACATATTGTGCAAGTTTCAGACCACACGTAGGGTTGAAACTTTCATTTTCCATTTGAGATTACGCATCTATATAGGGTTCAAACTTTGGACTTCAGGGTTGACACGCACTGTATGTGAAAGCAAGAAAGCGATGCATGCTCATTGCAAGGCGTTTCCTATATAAGGTCCCTTTGCAAATGTATCAGGGTTATAAGGTTTGTAGGGTATAGGGTGCATAGGTATTATAGGTTTATAGGGTATATGGGGTTTGTATATAAGGGTTTGTATATAGGGCTTCACATAAGGGATATGCAATCATTTCTGGCCATCCTGCATCTCGCTGGGGTATGGTTTTCAAGTCTGTTTTAGACGTATTGAACATACTTTTGGTTTTATGTGGATCTACGTGGCAAGCCCACTGCGTTCCGGAAACATTGGTCCAGTATACCTGCAGCTGCATGGTGATGGACTTGCCCTGTGTATACAGCGGATGTCTTGTAGAATTGCAGTTATACATAATCCTGATAAGCTCAAGGGTTCCAGAGGCGTCCATCCCGCCATCGGCGGTTTTGTCTCACAGGCAGATGGCAGCTATACATACCGAAGAGGCAACCCACCCAAAGCAGCTTCAGAAACAACGGCACATGTGCATTGCGCGTGTTTGTGATTGCCACGTGTGCTTCACCCATCCGCTTGAGAAACTATTTGCTCGCAGGCCGTCACCCATCGCCACCTCCTGGGCACACTCAAGGCGTCCCGGATCGACCGTATTGACAACTGAAGTTACGCTGTGCACATGTTCGTTTCGCATGAAGCTGGAACAAGCTCAGAGATAGAGGCTCGCTACATATATATGGGGTTCTACAGAGGGTGTACCTTTCCAGTCATGAATAGGTATGTATATTCATAGCTATACCGTCTATACATGTTCAGCTGTCAGATGATGTTGTCGGCTGCCGGCCAAGCAGCATGTGTGCCTTTGCAAAAGACGCGCTACATACTATTCTGGGCTCACAGACTTCTGCAGACATCACACGCATAGCTGCCTCCAAGAGTTGTACAGGGTCGCTCTACACATCTATGCCCAAAATCGCTTGCAAACGTATCGCGTCGATCTCAGATGCTGCATCCTCTACAGTTTTGGCGCTTCATTACGCAATCGTTAGCTTCCAAAACATGAATTTGACGAAGGCTTTTATGTACATGCAGAGTTCAGACTTGTAAGGATGGTCTCTTCTTGAATTCTTGAGTTTGCCTCCTGAGGTCGTTGCAGTTTATATGCGTATATATCTATGTAGTTCTTAAATGTGGTGCCATGCATTGCACGAGCGCAGGGCATGACGTAAGCTCGCGTTCGAGCCGGCAGGGTTCCTTCTCGCCGGATGCTGGGAGTGGCTGTTGAGTGGTAGACTTGAACTGTCCCAGTGAAGCGATGCTCGATGTTGCCAAACTTGGCCGAAAGCACTTCGTCAGTCAAAGCGGCCTTGCACATGTCCTGCAAGCTGTGAAAGAAGCTGACAGCTTGCCTCGGGGAACGTCCCGATGGTCTGTGAAGCGAAAGCGGGAGATTGCAGCCAACATTCAGACGCCTTACGGCCCCATCCTGAAGTCGTGGGAGTTGGAAGCAGTCAAAGGCCATGCGATAAAGGTGGATTTTTTTTCCCCCGCTGCCATGGTCTGGTATGGGGCTACTCAGTGCCAGGCTATGGCCAGCTTTGTCGAAAGGAGGTTGCAGGAGCGGCCTGGCAGCGTCGCTGCCCCTTGGGGGCTCATCTTTTATTCGGATGAGATTACGCCAGGAAATCAGCTAAAACCAAACAACAGTCGTAAGATGCAGGCTGTCTACTATTCCTTTTTGGAATTCGGGTCGGATGCGCTATGCAAAGACCACGCATGGTTCCTGCTGTGCGCACTCAAAAGCCAAACTGTGGCCAAGCTGCGCGACGGCATGAGTCAACTCTGCCGCAAGGCCATCGAAAGTTTCTTCGCGCAGGACGGCAACCTTGCACATGGCATTCAGATCGGCCAGCATTTTCTGTGTGCCAAAATGAAAATGGTGGTTTCAGACGAGGCCGCATTGAAGGCCATGTTCCAGCACAAAGGAGCGTCGGGCAAGTTGCCCTGCATGTTATGCAGGAACGTTGTCTTGAGGCGGTACGCGCCTGATGACATGGCAGCGCCGCTCGTTCTGCATACCTGCACTGACGAGTCCCGGTTCCTGCAACATGACTTGCCCTCTCTTCTGAATTTGGTGCGGCACTTGGAGGCCAGAAGCACTGTCTTGAACAAGGGGCAGATGAGTGAGTTGGAAACTGCGCTTGGCTTCAACCGGGCCCCTTTGGGTGTGCTCTCTTCAGAAACAGTCCTTGACCACATGGACCCAACCAAAGCTTTGCTCTATGACTGGATGCATTGCTATGTTGTGGGAGGCTTGTTCCAGTTGGAAGTCAACCTCCTGATGGGTGTCCTTGCTGAGGCTAAGGTTAAGATGTCCGACCTGGACACCTTCTTCCAGCAGTTTCAGTGGCCCAAATCGCTTGAGAGCAAGGGCGCCGGAGCCAAGAAGGTCTTTGAGCACAAAAAGAAGGCAAAGGACGATGAATGGAAATCATCTGCGTCTGAAGCGCTCAGTGCATTCCCAGTTCTCCGCGCTTGGTTGGATGACTTCCGAAAGCGTCCAGGGATCTCCGAGAAGGTCCAGGGTTCGATTCGGAGCTGCCTTGCGTTGTGCAGGGTCATGGTTGCTTCCGGGCGTTTCGCATCCTTTTCTAGCCTTAGTAAGTAGCTTCGGTTATGTACATTACAGAAAACCCTTATAACCTCTAGAAGCCCCGCGGTTTTTCTGGATCTAGAACCCTTACATCTGCACGCTTTATCAAGTTCCGGGGTCTCTACTTATGTTTATACCTTCTTACCTAAAAGTATATACAACCGTAGACGGGTGCTGCATACGTGGCGCCGGGTAAAACTTGGTTTTAAAGATGCAAAATGTAATTGATCAAGGACCTATTGCTGCTTTGCAGCACTGACAATGGCGCACGATATGCCAATGACTTACGAATGGCAATCGTGCGGCACCTGAACTTGTTTCAGCAAGCCCACGGTTTGCATCGCTTCATCCCAAAAGCGCACCTAGTATTGCATTTGGCAACAATGCTTGAGAGACACGGACAGCTGGTTAGCTGTTTCGTCCACGAGAGACGCCACAAGGAACTAAAACGGTTCGCAAATGAACTTGACAATTTCCAGGCCGGCGCCGAGAAACACATCATGCGAGAAATGATCTTGTGTCACATTGACGACATGAGCAACATGGATGTCATCAACGAAGTGGGCTTGATCGACGCAAAGCCTGCTACTGCAGACGTCATCGCCCACGTGCGGGCAACCCTGGGACTGGGCGGCGCGCGCCCCATGCAAGTCTCAGGAAAAGCGTATTTCCGGCCCAACCGTGCGGCCCACACTGGAGACGTTGTAGTTGTGGCAGAACCCGAAAGCATTGCAGAGGTCGCTTATCACGTAGCATTTGACAATTATCTCCTGACGTGCGTGCTGTTCTACGAGGAGGTGATGACAGAGAACTGCTTCAGAGTTCGCAGGGACAGGGTTGGCTTTATCCGCACAAGGGATATCAAAGCCGCATGCATTTTCAGTGAGAAGGATGGTATCTGCCGAGTCGCTCCGCAGATGTTCGAAGCTGATTGACATGAAACTTCGCGCGATGAGGTGTTGAGCGCATGATTTGCTGAGCATGCAAGAAGTACTTGGAGGATCTTTTGATTCAGTAAGTCTACCTACTATCGTTACCAACCCCTATATGATGAGCCTTAAGACCCAAGTTATTAGGTAAGCTTACTAAGTCAAGAGATCCTCCAAATATATGTAAGGAAGCTAAACGCAGACTAGGACCTAAGATTACACGGCTTCCTTGGTCCAACCCCGATGGTCCTGTTGTAATCTTGAGCCGGCCATGAAAGCAATCATGACAGCCCAAGTATAATGACGGCTTCCGTTGGCGGCATACATGTAGGGCTTTTTCCAATCATCGGTCTGTGCTAGAGAAGGCTTTGCTTGTGTTGTCACATGTGGACTATCCCATTCGATTTCCACTGGTTTCACAACCTTTTTTGGAAAGCTCCCACGTATATAAGGCATGCCGCGCAACTTTCAGGTTGTTGCAGTAGAAGTGGGGCCCTTTAGAAACCCTAAACCCTATAGACCCTCAAGCCCTGTAAACCCTTGTAAACCCTAAACCCTAAACCCCTAAACCCCTAAACCCTACACCATTAACCCTAGAAGCCCTAAACCCTAAACCATATGTACGCTTCAGATTTCAGCGAACCATCCCGGTTTGGTGTGACAAAGGCGTACCTGCTATTTGGGGATCGCTCCCTAGAATGCGTTTGTATGGTCAGTGAAAGGAATGTATAGGCCCTATATCGTCATCTTTAGTCCTCATCCCGGAGAGTCAATCCCAGAAACGCAGCATTCGGTAGCTTGATAGGAGATGGCGGGGCAAGTTTGTATGGTATAATATGGGTTTCAATTTTGAACTTACTAGTTACCGATCCTCTCCATGGATTCACGTCTTATACTTTATTCGGCAACATCAATCAATATCCCTCGAAACCTAATCCACTTTCAATATGGAGCAGGGTTTCTACCTTGATGGCGTTAGAGGGTTCAAGATTAGGGTTTGACAGCTGCAGAATTCTTAACGCACGCAGACGCAGTATATTCAACAACACCTTATATCCGGTAAGCTGCATGGTTTGGACGTGCTGTTGATTCCCGTTTTTGGGCAGTGTCAGTTATAAAGGAAAGTGCCTTGTCAAGTTAACATGCTGAGATTGTGGTGCAGATTGGTATTCTATGGGTATACCGTCAAATCATAAAATGTGGATCATGCTGCTACGAGTGTACTCCCAAAGAAAGAACGGTGAAGAATATGTGGGTCGTGTTTGGCGGATTGCAATGTTGAACTTTCTATAGAACACATTCAACAAGTGAAATGGCGTGGCGTTCCCGCCACGACTTGTGCATGCTTGGGCCTAACATTGGAGTATATCATGTGCGGTCAAGAAATTCCATCATGGGAACTGTACACACGTCGCCTTCCTGACAGACTTTTGCCTCAGACAGAGGTTTCAGGGAAGCCGTGGCTCCTGAACCAAAACATGTTGTTTTATGGCCCCGCGTGATCTGGATCCTGCGCAGTCCTGTACAAAGGTCTCCATTATATGAGCTATAGGAAACATAACACCATTTTTGTTCTGCGCTAGAGTTGTTTTGCGCAGCTGAAATTTGCCATACTTCTGCACCAACTCCATGGAACCACAGTTTCCCCAGACCCTCCATAATCCCGTCAGACTAAGCATCCTTATCCCTATATAACCGTGGGCAGGTGGCTTCGACGTCAAGAGCCTGCACGGCTCTGCACCTTTTGGGGTTTTGATTTTAGTGTATAATGTGTAGCATTTTTCGGTTCAATTACCATTGCCCGAGGTTGTTATTTAGCTTCTGGGATTTATGAGTCCAGCATTTAACACTAAGCAAAATTTTCGAGGAGGTTGATTTATTGTCCCGCTGTAAAGACTTGGGCCACTGCGAAATGACAAAAATCTGAACCTGGTGTATATATCAGACACATTCTCACATCCATTACATATTTTTGCGGTTGCCGATGAAACAATCTCTTGCAAGCCTCTTGTAAACGGACGCGTTAGGGCATGGTCTTACTGCGCGTGAATGGGTGGAACATTGGTTTTTTCGTATAAACTGACTGATTTTTTTGCCCGGCTAAGTCGACTTATCGGACTTAGCTAAGTCGACTTATGTTGACTTAGCTAAGTCGGATAAGTCTACTTAGCTAAGTCGACTTATCGGACTTAGCTAAGTCGACTTATCCGACTTAGCTAAGTCAGCATAACCGACTTAGCGGACTTGTGGTTAACTGCCCTAATTCACTTATAAGTCGACTTACCTAAGTCGGAGAAGTGGCGCAAAAATTCACTGTTGGATAAGTCGAATAAGTCGACTTAGCTGGCTTATCGATAAGTCAGCTAACCACTTATAATCGGTTAGTAAGTCGGCTAACCACTT